AAAAGAATCGATGGAGTAAAAAGACAGCGAAAGCAACGGAACTGATAACGATATCGTACCAGCGTGTGCCTGTGTGTGTTTGATTCCCGCACCCCGGTGTCCTCGATGGAGGAACCTTGACTAGTCTCTACCAGGCGACGATCTGTATCTCGTAAATTACTCCTTTCCTCGAACGGACATTATTTGCATACGTGACGGCGTGTTTTAACACCGGGAGAAATTCCGACGCTGGCTGCGGAATGTCGTGGGCGTGTGTGCTCGATACGCTCATCCTTTAAACATGGTTCCGCCCACTTTTGCTACAGTCCAACGCACCCGAAACTTTCGGATACTTTTTGTTTCCACGCGACGCGTATGTTCTTTGTCGGGACCGATAGTCTGAGGATATTTTAAGGATGTTCGATGGGAGGAAATTTTCTGCTCGAGTATTCGATTGTATAGGGAGATTCGAAGTAGCTTGTGGTTGGTTTGGTATTTGTTGGGTGAGGTTTCAGGAATCGTTTTCGATTGATGTTGTATCGTTTAAGGTAGTTGGATCTTGCGTTTGTATAGGAGGTTTCAAGGAGCATCGAACTAATTTTTATTGTGTGAAATCTGGGTGCAAAGTTATTTGTTTTTCAGGATATCTGTGGAAATGAATGCCTTTTGAAGTCTTTGATCTTTGAAGTGTACAGGGAGTTTCGAAATTTGTATGCAGTGTCGTTTGGTATTTGAGGTTCTGGGAATTGTTTGATATTGGTGTTGTGTTTCTTGAGTTAATTGAATGCTAGGTTTGTACAGGATGTTTCAGAGAGGGTTGATAAAAGTTTGACGTGTAAATAACATGGGCCTGAAGTTATTTGTTTTTAAAAATATTTTTATAGCCGTCTATAGAATTTAACACCTTCTGAAGTATTCGAATCTTGAATTCTACAGGGAGTTCCAGAAAAGATTGAGAGAAAGTTTAATGTCTCATTAATATGGGACCGAAGTAATTTGTTCTTATGAATAATTTAATAATTGCCTATAAAACCTAATACTTTCCATGGTATTTGAATTCTGAGTTATACAGAGAGATTCAAAATAGGTTATGACGTGTCGTGGGATAGTATATAATGAATACGACTTCCAAAAATCAGTAGTTTCTTAATATGTACACCAATAAATATCAATAGATTCGAGTGTTATAGTTTTCAAGGTAATAGAATTTCAAATTTATATAGGGCGTTTCAGGAAACCTTGAGAGAAAGTGTAATGTCTGATTAATACGGGGCCCAAGTCATTTGAACATTTGTTTCTACGAATGCATTAATAATCGTCCATGGAATCTGCTACTTTCTAAAGTAATTCAACCTTAAATCATACAGGTTAAAACTAACATTTTCTAAAACAATTTAACCCTGACCTATACAGGGAGTTTCAAAAAAAACCTGTCGGAAATTTCGAAGTCTAATAAACACAAATCCAAAGCATATTTTCAAGGATACCTTGATAACCAACCACGAATCGTACTATTCTCTAAAACAACTAAATCTTCCAATATACAAGTGTTCCCAAAAAAGACTACATCGAACATTATCGTCCACCAAGTACACATTAAATAATACCAATTTCCAAATGTGTAACCAACAGGTATTAAACACAACTCGTAGATTAAAATCGACAGATCTAATCGTGCTAATCAATTCCATAAAAAATTCTAAGCACGTAGCATTTCCTATCAGGAAATCATTCTACGTCTGAGTAATGCCTAATATATCTTTCATATTCACTGTTGCTTCTCATTGCCAACTGTGACTATAGCGCTCATTGGAAAAATCTCGGTGACCAGTGGAGGAATTCGTTCTTTCTCCTCCTCGTCTTCCTTTCTTGGTCCCGGGGAGCGTTATCAGGATCCGTGACGCAGCTCGGATGGTCTTTGCAAGTGAAATGTTCCCTCGCGAAGGCCTCAAGGCCGACGAGATACTGCCTCCTCTCACTTTCGTGCCACTCGCTTTCCTGCGTGTTTCCACTGGACCACCTTTCTCCCTCCATCCTCCTCCCTCGCTTCTTCTTTTTCTTTGCTATCATCGCCATCTCCTTCTTCCTTCAGATCCTGCTACCCGAAATCGGAGACATTGGCTGAGGTCGAAGGTCCTCGGGTTTCTTTTACCTTTTTCCTCGTGCTTTTCCTCTGTTTCTTTTCGCTTTGCGAGATTTTTTAGAGGGTTCCGAGAACTCCAGGATCTTCGCTAAGGTCTTCGGATGAGGCTTCTTGGTATTGGGTTAGTATGTTTCCTGAGATATTCATCTTTCTATTACACTTTGCTTTCTCTTTGAGAGTGAATTTTTTAGAGTAATTTCCTTGAAAAGATTCAGTGTTTGTCAGAGGTTTCGCACAATTTTTTTGAGCAGTTTGAATTCTACCGGGTGTTTCAAGAAGATATACAGTGAATTTTGGTGTTTGGAAAACGGTATGATGATTATTCTTTGATGGAAAGAATTGGATGATAATTCTTGGATTCTAATATAATATTGTACAGTGAAACTTTTCGATTATACAGGACGTTTTAAAAAAGATAAAATATCACGTGATATCCAATTAGTGTAGGTTCAAACGTAATTTGTTTCCAAAGATATTTCGCTAATCATTCATTAGCCTTAATACAACAGTCTCAAACTTAATTCAACCTTAAATTCTGCAGAGTGTTTCAACTAAATTTCACACGAATGTTAGAACTGAATAATTCAAATAAATCATTAATAATGGAACAAAATGTTCTACAAGTAGTTCACCTTCACGTTTCTACTCGTCTGTTTTCTAATTTCAAGTTCTGCCAATAGCCTGCCATATCTTCGTTTACTTTATTTTCGCAATTCCAACTACTTTCACCTGAGTATTCAACAATACAAATGAATTTTTCCACGACGGACATCTCTCTTTTATCCTCAGAGGTTTCAGCTAATGCGAGGTTAATATTGTTTGCATTGCTCGCCCAACGACAGCCAGATGGAGAAACGGAAACGATGGATCTCACCGTTGACCGGTGATCCTTGAGCGACGGCATTCCGTCGACGATTTCCCGTTTCTCTCGACCTCCGTCGCGACTGTCTCCCCTGTTCTTTGCGCCGCGAGTGGAAACCCTGCTCGAACGAACCGTGAGCTTCTACCATTATTATTATACTAAAGGTTATGCCACGATTTCCTCGCCGACTATTCGCTCCCGCGACGCCGCTGGTTTCGTAACGGCGAGCAACGAAGATCACGCGCATCCCCGTCCACGCAGGAACGCTGTTTCGCGGATCCATCGTGTATTCCATTCGCAAAAGGACATTCATTAATATTTCATGAGTTTCATCTCCGCTTTTGGCAGGAATTTTCGTGCAATTTTCGTTCTCACTCCAAAAATCTGTGTCGTTGATTTAGGTTCGTCGAGAATTTGAAAATTATTTGGGCGATTTTAAAAAGTAATGATAATTTTAAAGAGTATTAATAACTAAAGAGGATACAATTTTTCAAAGTTATGTATCACTTTCTGAAGCTACCATAAGACTTGGTTCTATCTTCGGTAGGAATTTCGGTTCAATTTTCATTCTCGTTTCAAAAATTAATATTGTCCATTTATTTTCGTTGAGAATTTGAAAATTATTTAGGCAATTTCAAAAAGTGATGATAAATAAAGAGGATGCAATTTTTCCAGGTTATGTGTCACTTTCTGAAGCTATCATGAGACTTGGTCCTAATTTATTTTGTTCGGGGATTTGAATATTATTTGTGCAATTTTAAACCATAACTAAAGAGAGTACGATTTTTTATAAAAAATACAGAAGTTTCTATCCTACAGGTAAAAGGCACTTTATCTGATAAAATTTTCTTTTAAAGCACCTGGTATATCAAGATATTCGATAGAAATATTTTGTCGTAATTTTATTATAATTATCTAATATTTATTTATTAAACTGGCAATGCATTATTCTTATGTTTCTAAATACTTCGTGTTCCATTATAAACATATGTATTCTTAACTAGCTATTGCTTAAAAAAACTTTTCTCTGTAAAACTCAGTTATTCGTTTATAATAATTTGTTTACAGATCTTTTGTCTACAAAATTCAACTATTGCATTAGATTTTTATTGAAAATTTCAACGCTTGATACATTCCCTCTGCGCACAGTATTTCTTAATAAAAATTCGTCGTCATGAAACTGAAATATTCATTATATTCTTATTGATCAAGTCGGGACACTTTATATGAATCACCCTGTACACAATGATGTTCAATATAGATTCCATTACATAAAACCAAATTATCTAACGGGACCTTATACGCATACCTTATACTTTATATTCACGACGACCAAAACTGATATTTAAGCGTTCAGGTCAGGTTTCGATCAACGACCTGAGCCTCATTAATTAATCTATTCGTTCAATCAATTACGTGACAATTACGCGACGTTATATCCATCCCTTCCGGCATACATGATACGTTCCTATATTCAATTTTTAACGTCTCAAGGATCAATGACTCAATATTGCGTCGAGTCAAATATTTTTCTATTTTCATATAATTTATGTTCATTACAATTAAATGAAATATAACATATGATATAAATATGAATATAAATGAAAATAAATTAAGTGAATTAAATAAACGGCATGGTATTATTTTGAGATTTAGTAGCAAATGGTTAGCATAATTGATTGGACATTATTCCTAGCATTCCTTTGATGAAGATTTAAGTGATTCGAGTATCTTGAACATTCAATACGAGTTTCCAACGTAACGGGCCCCGTGGTTACGGTGTTAAAAGTGCATTCGCGACCCAACGCTGACCTTTTGGTAATGTCGTCGACACCGATGCAACCGTCATCGCGATCATCGCGCTTTCTATCTGTCCACGTGGCGCCTTTCATAAACTCTGATCGTTGCTTCTCGCGATATACAGGGTGTTTACAGTGTTTCTTCCGGCAAATTGCGATAGCATAACGGTACAAGTGAAAATAAGAGGAAAATGTTCCTGTTTGCTTGGAATTAGGTAAGAGTTACGTAAGAATTAGGAAGACTTCGTATTACAATTGCGCGTTCGCATTGTTGCCGTGATTATAATTAACATAATTGTACGAGAAAATTGTCTGATCAGCTATCATTTTCATTCGTTTCAAGTGGAATTTTTATTTATATTTTTCTACTGCCTTCACTAACGCTCTCTGAGATTCTACGAACATTATGGAGACTGTCACTTGAAATATTCACCATGTTAGAACTTGTATATCTTCATTTCTTTTAAACTACAATAATTTTACTCAATATCATGCGACTTTGAAGAATTATTATAAATAATTGAAGCCTTTCGTGGAAAAGGCGTTTGTTAGTAGTATTCTAATATTGTTTTACGTTGATTTATAAAAAACATTATCAACATAATATAAAATACTATTTTATATACACTTTACCTACGTGTAATGTATAATATTATTTACTTTTTTATGTTACACATAAATAGGATCACTTATTTTAATAATATTATCTAATATTCTTGTTTTAATAGTTTTATATTAGAATGTTGACTTGTTTACCTGATCTCCACAAATCGTTTGGGTATGTGCTACACACATAATATGTTACTACATCTTTAAAGAGAATTGAATTTAGTTACTCTACTTCTCACGCGAAGTAACGAAACATTAAAAACACTGAAACCAATCTTCCTAAAACAGCATTTTGACGTATATGCCCTTTTTCCATCAGAAGACGCAGAATTGCGCGTCTCATCGTCAGAACGAAGTTACGCAAGTGGTTTCCATGGGAATGACCATACAAGACAACAGAGGTTAGCTATGGGCAGAGATTACAGAAACTGGAGTACATCGAGGTAAATAATTTAAATAATGGTTGAGTGTCGTAGAAATGCGGAGAAAACTAATTTTTGTTACGATAGTCGACACCTAATATTATTTTTCATTATTCAACGTTTTAATAATACATCTTATATTTTAATGTTTTAAGAAAAATATTAAAATTGTTATTGAATCGAGAACAGGAAGATTGACGAAACATATAAATATAAATAAATTTAAATAACAAAAGAAATATGTTTTTGCCATTTATTTTCCACTTAATTAATTCCTTATGTATGTAAGTGTTTCAATTAGTATTTTTCTGCTTTTTATTTTACCCTTACCTTCTTAATTTCTTCAAACGGCGCCAAATTTTCAAAATCTGAAAACATTGGGAAAGTGGAGTTAATTACTTTGTAAGAGCAATGAAAACATAAAATAAATAGTATGATATAATGATATGATTAATAATATGATAAACGATATGATTAATGATATGACTAACGACACAAAATAATAAGGTAGACCGGGCGAATCAGATGGAAACTAAAATTTATGCGAGATTTATTATATCGCAAATTATATTTCTCATTTCTTATCTCCTATTCGCAAAAGAAAGTCTACAATTATTATTAATGCTCTTGTAATCATAGTTCTTTACTGTCGAAGAGATCACGATATCAGTAAAAATGAACAAATATGTAATATCTCATATAGTAATAATGATGAATAAAAAAGAGTGTAATATTTGATACAATAATATTAATCAATGGAAAAATACGTGATAATTGATACACTGATAACAATAAACGAAGAAATGTGTAATATTTGATACGATAATACTAATAAATGAAAAAATACGTAATACTTGATACAATGATAATAATAAACGAAGAAATATGTAATATTTGATACGATAATACTAATAAATGAAAAAATAAGTAATACTTAATACAATGATAACAATACACGAAGAAATATGTAATATTTGATACGTAATACTTGATACAATGATAACAATAAACGAAGAAATATTTAATATCTGCTACAACAATACTAATAAATGAAAAAATACGCAATACTTGATATAATGACAACAATAAACGAAGAAGTACGTGGTACCTCATATAATAATAATAAAAAACGAAAAAATATGCAATTTTACTTCGAAAGTACAACTAACATTAATTACGCGTTGCGCGGCTCGAAAGCGGCACTCCGTCGCCGGAAGGAAGTTACGTAAAACGACGTCTGTGTCGGCGAGCTTGTCTAAAATTTTAGAAAGTCCGCGAATCGTTCGTTCCGCGAGCCGTTCGAAAAACAACATCTCCTCCCGTGGCTCCCGTTTCTAATTCCGTTCCGCGAGATGATGCTCCTTCTATCAGCGGGAACGCGGCGACGCACGGTCCGTTGTGTCGCAAACGGAAAGTCATTGCGAAACGAGGAAACGATTATAGAAATGCAACTGAGACGGACGGTATTACTTCTCATTACGTCGCTGAAAGTGTAACGCGCAGCGATGGCAGCGATCCGATTGACTATTCTTGCTCGAAAGGAGATAAGACAATTGAATTGGTGACTGGCGGAAGGCCCTTTGTTATAAATTGTTCAAAAGTTTGTACAGAAAAAGGCAGAAGGTGATGCATCGAACGTTTGTACGAAGTTTTGTTTCTTAATTGTTATTCTGAAGGTCAGAAGTTTTAAAATAGTTATATTCTAGTTATTATTAATATTAAGAAGATACTTTTGAATTATTATATTCATTTCCCAATTTGGGAGAGGTGCCATTGTTATAAATTGTTCAGAAATTTGTAAAGAAAGGGCAGAAGGTGATGTATAGAACGTTTCTACGAAGTTTTGTTTCTTAATTGTTATTCTGGAGGTCAGAAATTTTAAAATAGCTATGTTCTAGTTATTATTAATATTAAGAAGATACTTTTAAATTATTATATTCATTTCTCAATTTGGGAGAGGTGCCATTGTTATGAATTGTTCAAAAGTTTCTACAGAAAAGAGCATGATTATCAATATTAATGATTTTCTTCTAAATTATTGAATTATTCTTTTTATTTCTCAGTTTGTAAGAAGATCCTTTATTAAAAATCTAGCCAAAGTAATTTTTCATTATTCCATAACAATGTTCCGTCATTTCTTGAGAAATAAAAGGGAAGAAACAATTGTTTAGACGTGAACAACACGATTCCAATGGAATCAATTGAATAGAGATTCAGTTTGCTAGTTCTGCGAATAAAATGAATAATTGATTACTAACAAAGTTATCAAACTGAAACTTCGTTCGATTGATTAACTTTGTTCTTTATTAACTTTGTCCCATCACTAATGCGATTCGGTGTAGTTTAGTGTTACCAAGGAATAACACGGGCACCGAAAGAACACGCCCCTGGGAACTCGTGAGTATCACTCATAATTATACTTCATTTGTTCGGGCTCACGTAAATACTCGCTTCTACGTGGCCGACTTTACTCATCTTCCTGGTGAGAATTCATTAAAGGAAAAGTACCAGAAAAGTACTGAAGAATAATAAGTATTTAGTGTTTAAATACTTGAGTATCTTACCAAATAATTATGTGTTTTTGAACCGAATACTTTCAATTACTTAGAGTATTTAAATACTTGAGTTCTTTAATTTCCAATTGTGTATTTTTGAACCGAATACTTTCAATTACTTAGAGTATTTAAATTCTCGAGTTCCTTAATTACTGAATAATTATGCATTTTTTAACCAAATACGTTCAATTATTTAGAGTACATTATAGAGAAACTGAATTTCAAGTACTAAAGTATTCAAGTGTTCGGTATTTGAATACTTAATAAAAATTATGACATAATTGTGATGATTACAATTTATATTGCACATTTTATCACGTAATATAAAATTAATTAAGAAATTCTTTTCCAATTAACAGACACTACAGTTACTAAATCATTCCTTTTTCATATATACAACCTATTAGTACTCATTTTCTAGATACTCTACGTAATTTCCTTTTGTTTTCTTGACCAAAAATCAGTGTAAAAATAAAGCATGATAGTTATAGTTTACAAGAGCTAGACAAAGACAACTCGGGATTGTGTTTCTTATTATTATAAATAAATGGATTTATACCACTTAAAAAAAACGGCTCACTTGTCTATCAGTCCGTTTTGAACTAGCAAACAATGCATATCATAACTTAACAAAAAACGACCATACCAACCAAAAACCAGTGAAAAAGTAAATCATTATAGTTATGATACACAAGAAACAACTAAACTTATATCATTTCCACAAAGAAACACGGCGCAAATAATGATTTTCAATTCGTCACTTCTTACTCGTCGAACTTTCAGCCTGTCTCTAAGTACTCTACCCAAGAATTCGCCACGAACCATCCACGAAAGGACGGCGTGTCGATTACGCGTCGAATAAAACGCGATAACGCCGATCGAAACTAAAACCGAGCATCGTCTCGGGGAGCAAGGGGGAGGAGGACGAGGAAAGGACTTTCTCCCGTGCAGGAATCCTTGTTGTTCGCTTTCCCTGATATCATGTGTCCGTCCGAGCACCGACTGGCCAAGGATCTCCCGTAAGGACACGTCCGCAGAAGAAAACAAAAAAGAAAAAAGAAACAAAAGAGACGGAAAAAGAAAGGGAAGTGAAACAAGAGAATCGGAGAATCTCTTTTCGATTTCGTTTTCAGTCGGATATCCTAAGACCGACGATTTTTCTACGTCCACCGTGGGACGTGTATCGCGGTGCTCGATCGCTCGATCATTACGACGTGTGCTCGCGTGTCCAATGTTAAGGTCGTTCCATCCTCGGCAACACAGTAGACACCGATGTGGGTCAAGTTGATGTCCGGTTCTGCGAAACCTGCCCGGAATGTAATCTGTCGAGAGTGAATTCCGTCTCCCATCGATCCAAAAAATCGATCTAGAGATGTGCTAGGATTGTCGATTGGTGAACTTGTTGGGAGTGAGTGGGTTTACGTTTGAATTTGTCTTTGGAATCGAATGGTTTTCTGTGGAAATGCTCGGCGTCTGAGAGGTGGGATGTAGGGGACATTCTTTGGAACTAATTGATTGGGCGATGTACTTGGGTTAAGGGATGCTTTGTTTGAAGGTTTTGTGTATTGTTTATTATATTATATTACATTATATTATATTATATTATATATATTATTTTATATTATACAATAATATTAATTTAGATTATTAATAATATTTGTATTATTATATAATATAAGCTTAATATTATAAACAAGACCTTATAATTTCGCTACATGAAATCAAGTGGTGCTTGGGAGTCAGCTCTCAACTGCAAAGGGTTAACCTTAAGTACTAGAACTAAATGGATAGTCCAAAATGACTGATTTTTTACTTATTATAAATCAGTCGAAATCTCAATAGTTGCATTATTGACACTACTTATAAATGATGTAATTAGAAATCAAACAGAAATTAAAGAACGAAACTATGTGATTTCGATATTTCGCGTTTTAACGCATTCTACCGAATTTAATGTTGAATATGGAACTCCAGAATGTTGCTGCATGAAACCAATAATTACGTAAACAAATTAGTAAATGAGGAAGTATACGAACGAGTCATAAAGTTGGTAGCAAATGGGGAAAAAAACTCAATTCGTGGTAGAATAGCTTCCACCTTTCAAACTAGTTTCACGGTTACTTAATGATAACAATTAATTTGCATAACATACCCGCTAACAACAACCACGATAATATTAAAATATAAGTGAATTAAATAGCTCCAAGTAAAACTGAAAAATAATCAAAATAAAATAACTTGGATTGTTAAACGTTGCGAAACAGTCTCAATGAAAGTTAAATTGCAAAACAAATGTACTGATAGAGAAACATTAATAATTTCAAGTATTCCTATCTTACAATTTACAATCTCACTTTAAAATTCACTTTTTCTCAAATATTCGCATTTCTATTTCTTAATTCGCGGAAATCACCAGGTTGGAAAATACATTTTGCAATTTACAATCTCACTAAAAAATTTATATTCTTTTGAAATATTTACCTATGCCAAAAACGAATATAATTTCTGAACATTTGCTAGTGCCAGAAGTAGTGTACTTCCATGGAATATAACTCTATCAAATTCGTCAAATTTGCCTGTTTTTTATTTTGCAAAAATGGATCACCTTGAAAAGTAAATAGCTAAGATCAGGACGGAAAATAAATATGTAACGACCGGGGAGAATCGACGGGGTGTATCGATCATCGAAAAACGCGCTGGACGACTGAAATCGGGCTGGGTCGGGAATGCAGAGTATCGAAGTGAAATCTCCGGGTTGCAAAACATCCTCCCGTCGTGAGGTCGGACACGACCAGCCCGTTCAATGTTAAGGACAAACGAGAACCGGAATCTAAGACACGCGTAAAAACCGGCGCCACTTTCGTTTACCGAAGACAATGGAAGCCGACGCCATGTTCGGACGTCGGGATCACGCGTAAGTATCTTAATTCGCAAGTAATTGTCAATTAACCGAGTTCGGTATGTTGTATCTAGTACTGTGAACATGATTGGAGAATTACAAAAATCTATACTGTACAACAACGATGACAACAGTAACAAGAAACAAGAATAATGACGAATACAACAATGAACAACGATAGTGGCATCAACAGCAGCAATAATGATAGTAATAATAACAACAACAAGAAACAAAAGAATAGTAGCAACAACATCAGCATTGTAATGGCAATATCAATGACACCGACATCAACAACAATGACGAATACAACAATAAACATAGACAATAACATGAATAGTAACAATGGTAATAGTAGTAATAGCAGAAATAATAACAACAGTACCCTTTAGACCTACACAAAAGTGAAAATGAATAACAACGGAAAGATACAGGAACAACGGATACAACACAATAATAACCGAGAACATAAAATGAAAATCCAACAAATACATAAAATATTACTATTATTAACAGGTTTGCCTAATCACAAATGGAATAAGCAAAAGGCAAGGATCGGTGGCTTACAGCGAACAGGAATCGCCGTGATCGAAGAGAATCGTAAAATCCGTCGTGAAACGGGCCCCGGGTACCGTTAAAAGAGGACCGCGGCCACGAGGAATGCATCGACGATAATAGTTTTCGATTTCGTTGGATACGGCCCGATGACGAAAGCGTCGGCGTCTCGAGGCGCCTCGAGGAATTTCATGGAAAGTGAGCCTCCACCTCCC